CTAGAGAGGTGGGAATAAGTGCATTTGAGATGGCTAGGTTGGCAAAGGATAGAAGAGCGTATAGAGCTTTTGTACATAGGGTCGCTATGAGTCACAAGCAACTCGATGGCACATAACAACAAGGTCTTGGTGAAATAAGATAGACTGGCATGGAACATTTTGAGTCAGATGATCATATGCTATACTATGCTGGAGATGAAAAGGTGATGCAAAATGGGATTGTTTTCATAGTGAAAACATCATTTCTAGATCTGTCTTGAAATATAAAATTGTGAGTGACAGGATAACATCCATACATATACAAGGAAGTCGAGTAATATCAACATCATTCAAATATACAGACCAAAAACCACAGCCAAAAAGAAGGAAGTAGAATATTTATACCAACTAGATTAATTGAACATGCCATCAGGATATATTAATAATAATGGGTGACTGGAATGCAAAAGTTGGGAAGAAAGGAAAAGGATCAGTAGTTGGAAAATGTGGACTTGGTGATAGAAATGAAGCTGGATATAGAATGACAGAATTTTGCACAATCAACGACTTATTCATTGCAAAGACATTTTATAAGAAAACATAAACTTGGGCTATACATATGGATTTCACCTGATGGTATGCATAGGCATCAGATCGATTACATCTGTGGAAATAATCACTGGACAAGCTCAATATCAGCTCTGAAAACTAGGCCAGGTGCTGATTGTGGAACAGACCACCAACTATTCACATGCAAGTTCAAGCTGAATCTAAGGAAAATTAAATTAAATCCAAGGGAACCAAAATCTGACCTTGAGCTGAATTTCAAAATCATCTTCGGTACAGGTCTGAGGCCTTGAACACTAATGAGTGAAGACCAAATGAGCTGTAGGAAGATTATCAAGAATATCATCCAAGAAGAATACAAAATGTCATTACAAAGACAGAGGAGGAAGAAAAGACTAAGATGGATGTCAGAAGAGATTGAATATTGCACTTGAATGCCAAGAAGTCAAAGCAACGGGAAGAAATTAAGATATTAAGGAGCTCAACAGAAGACTTCAAAAGGCAGTGCAGGAAAACAAAATATTATAATGAAATGTGCAAAGACCTAGAGTCAGATAATCAAAGGGACCGAACAAGCTTGACATTTCTTAAGCTGAAGGAACTGAAGAACAAATTCAAGCCTTGAGTTGTAATACTTAAGGATGTTTTGAGCAGAATATTAAATGATCAGTAAGCATTAAAAGAAGATGGAAAGAGAATATAGTCACTGTACCAAAAGGAATTGGCAGACACAGAAGAATTTCATTAAATAATGTATAATCAAGAGCCTGTGTTGATGAAGGAATAAATTCAAATTACTCTGAAAGAATTCGCAAAAAACAAGGTCCTAGGAATTGAGGGCATACCAATTGACATATATCAACAGACATACACTGCCGTGTATGTGCTCACTTAGTTATGCTAAGAGTTTGGAGGACAACCACCTGGCCAAATGACTGGAAAAGATCTGTATTTATTCCCATTCCAAACAAAGGTGACCTGGCAGAGTGAGGAAATTATCAAACAATACCGTTGACATCACATGGAAGCACAATTCTGCTGAAGACTACATATAAAGAAAAAAAGACTGGAGCAGCACATTAACAGAAAACTGCATGAAGTGCAGGCTTGGTTTAGAAGAGGCCATGTTACTAGGAATATTATAGCTAATGTTAGAGGGGTCTTGGCTGGAAGCAGGGAGTACCATAGGAATGTTTATCTGTGTTTTATTGTCTATGCAAAGGCATTTGACTGTGTGGATTACAATATACTGTGGCTGACTCTGAGAAAAATGGGAACCCTAGAACATTTGATTGTGGTTATGTGACACGAGGCAGAACAGAGCAAGGACACAATGCATGGTTCAAAATTGGGAAGTGTGTACACCAGGCATGTGTCCTGTCTCCATACCTTTTCAATCTATATGTTGGACTCTATAAGGAGAAATTTGGCATCATGATTGGAGGAAGAATCATCAACATGCTGTGTTATGCAAATGACACAACCCTGATTGCTGAAACTAAGGAGGCCTTCAAGAGTTTGCTGCAGAAGGTCAAACACTACAGCCTTCAATATGGATTGAAGCTCAACAGCAACAAAGATTCTCACCACTGGGCTGACTCACAGCATCATGATAAGAAATTGAGATTGTTAACAGCTTTAGTTTGCTTGGCTCCACAATTAGTACTATCAGTATCTGCAGCCAGAAAATAAAAAGATTAATTGCATTGGTTAAGTCTGTACTGTTAGAGACCTCTCCAAAGTACTGAAGAGCAATGATGCCAGTCTGGAGACTAAGGTGGGCCTTATTCAGGCCATGGTACTTGCAATCATTTGCTATGCATCAGAGAGCTGGACAATGACTAGGGATGACAGAAGGAGAAATAATTGCTTTGAGCTTGTGGTGCCGGAGAAAAGTATTGAATATACCATGGACTGTTAGGAGAAAAAGTAGGTTCATCCTAGAGAGGGTGAGACCATGCTGCTCATTGAAGGCAAGCTTATTGAAGAAGCTTCATCTGACATTCTTTGGGCATATTGCAAGGAGGGTCCAGTTCTTGGAGAGGGATGTCATGCTTGGAAGGATAGAGGAACAGTCCAAGAGAGGAAGACCCTCTATGAGACTGATTGACTCAGTGACTGGTATAATGGGGGGCAGGTGTGTCAGAGACAATACGATTGGCACAGAATAGAGCAGGGTTTAGGGTTGTTGTGCATAGAGTTGCTATGAGTTGCAGGTACATAACAACAACAAAAATACAATATTTCTAAGATTACATGAATACTAACAAAATAATTGTTTTGTATATTCTTTCTGAACTGAATCATACATTTTTAGTACTTTCAAGGAAGTTTTTTTCTCTTCCTCAATTTTTTTAATTACTACTTCATTTTAAAAAAATACTGATATAGGTTTATCATTCATAATTGTCACAGTATTGTAGACAATGCCAGAATTATTGATAAAATCAGTAATAGAGTGTGTGCAGAAATAATTCTGTGATTTGGAGCATCATTGTAATTGGATGATAATAATAACTCTTATAAAAGTGTACTGCAAAATTAAAAAAGTAAACTAGTATAGAATTTTAGTCTTGAATAACAAGGAAGTGTTTGGATTCTGAAGGAGCTCCATTTATAAATCTGTCTTTAACTCAACTGTATAAGTCATATTACATCCAACTCCTACCTGGCCTCTTTCCTCTCATTCCCAAAGTGTGGACCCAGGGACACAGGTGAATTAAAGCGGAACTAAAACCACAAAAAACTGGAGATAGGTTAAGGGTTCTGTGAGGCTAAACACTACTCAACATTAGACAGTGCTGAAATGAAGAGAAATTATGCAGTGTAAAGTCAAGACATAAATTCTCACCACTATGCAATAGCATGATAGATTTAGAAAAGACTCACATTGTCAATAATTTCCTCTTGTTTGGATCTATATTTAACATCCTTGGTTCCAGGGGTCAACATACAAAAATACATATTTTTGTTCTGTTGTTGTTGTTGTTATGTGCCCTTG